GATTTCTCAATAGAAAAGTAGTTTAGTTGAAAAAGTGACACTTGATGAACCTAATACTAATGTTATAATGTGTTGGTACATGTTAGTTTTATCTAGTGTCCATTACAATCAAATTAACTTCTTTGAATTTTTTATACAAACATACATGTATAATGTATTATAAAATCATGTGTTTGACATCAGAAATGAGTGAACAAAATAAAGATACCATTGTTTTTGTAGGAGACTCATCGTGAGGTTTGCTTGGTGTGTGTGATAGTGTAATACGATCATATATCTAAGTGTTGGCAGGGTGTGATATGGTGATATAATCTATATATAATTTGTAAAATTCACTGACCAGTTAACTCATAGAACACTCTTCAAGCTCTGTTTTCGCGGTTGGGTCTGATAGTCTAGATGTACCACTGAAATCTGAAGCTAACTTCCCCAAGACACTCTATTTGTTCCTCTATTATCTTCCTTACAGAAAGCACGGCAGAGTCCGCACAACGGTACACCTTGATCTCTCTAAGCGTGTTTATATCCCCAATTTCCAATGGGATCTCCTTCAGCTTACGTAGAAACCCTAGTTCGAGCCGCTCGAGACTCGGGAAGTGGTTGGCCTCGGCCCTCCACTGTTCAAGATCATCGCAGCCCTGGATGTTCAAGCATTTCAGGCTCGGGAATCCGTCATCTATTGTTTCCCACTCGGGCCCCACGAACGCATTGTGATCTAGCTCAAGCTCCTCGAGATATGGCAGCGTCCCTATCTTTGTCCCCATCTTCTCCCACCCCAGCGTCGTGTCTTCCAGTTTCAGCTTCCTGAGCGAATTCGGGAATGTCACCTCAATTCGCCGATAGATTGATGCAGAGCATGAAAGTGAAAGGGCCTCTAGCTTGTGTAGCCGACAGAGATTGTCAAGACTATAATCAGCTAGTGTTAATTCCTCCTCCTCCTCCTCCTCCTCCTCCTCGTCGTACCGAAGTTCCAGCTTCTTGATATTGGGGATTCTCTCAACCACTTTTTCACCCAACTTCATGTTCCACACGGTCTGGAGAGTCTCTAGATTCTCCAACACCATCCAACCATTTTCTTCATCCATTGGAATAGGAGGAGGAGGATCCGTGAGCTGGAGAGACTGTACCTTGATGTGCCTGAGTTGGGGCATCCGCCATATGTCCAGCACCGGCCTTCTATTCCAGACCAAAGCAACAATTAACGTCCGTAAATTCCAGAGTCGGTATAAAACTTCTACAGGAAATTGAGTCATTGGGGCGACCAGGTGGCACAGGTTGGGAGGAAGAAATAATTCTTGTTCAGAGTATTCATGGAGGTGATAATATGATTTATCATATCCATTCAGAATCCTCAACAATCTAAAGGGAACTACGGATGGTAAATTTCCATCAACGTTCCATATTAGAGTTTTTGCTCGTGATGCGGATTGCACAGCTTCAGGGAGCGGACGGGGAATGTATTTCCCGGCTTGGTGAATGCCAATACGGCGTTGGGCACGCCAGCTAATTTGGTCGTGATGCTCAGGGTTGTTGTGCGTTGGTGTTGTTTCCATGGTGCGAAAGAAATTGTATTTCTCAGCTTCTTTTATGCATAGGTCTCTCAGGAGATCGTGGATGCCACACCGTTTTATTCTTCCAGTAGGGCCCCACTTATGAACCAAGATTAGGTTTCTGAGGACAAGATCATGTAGGTAAACTTCTCTGGCAACTGTTTTCAGCCTTTTTCCAGCGACCGGTTTCACGAATCCTTCATCAACCCATAGTTTGAGGAGCGTGGGGACGTGAATCCTGCGGTCCTCCGGGAACATGCCCATGTAAAGAAAACACGGCTTCAGGTGGACCGGCAGTTGATTGTAGCTTAACTTTAGTATTTTAAAGCAACTCTGGTCATCCTCTAAGTTCACGATTGATCTTAAATTTTCTAAAACGTGTAGCCACTTTTCCTGTGTATGTTCAGACTTTGCTAGCAGTCCTCCGATCACGACAATTGACAATGGAAGGCCTCTGCAGTTCTTGGCAATGTCCTTCCCAATATCTTCCAATTCCAGGGGGCACCCTTGTTCCTGAAACACACACCTACGCAGCAGATTCCAACTTTCCCCCACCTTCATAAATGGCATTTGATAGTAGTCTGGGCCATCCAGTTGCAAAGCCAGGTTCGATGGCCTAGTGGTTATTAGTACTTTGCTCCCGTTGTTGTTAACCGGAAAGAAGCGCTTCACCTTGTCCCACGCGTCCGTACCCCAAATGTCATCCATCACAATCAGATATCGTTGGCCGTATAAGCTTTGATACAAATTTTGTCCTAATTCTTCATATATGCTGTCCTCCCTCCCTTTGTTCTTCAAACAATCAAGGACTTGTAACAAAATCCTTTTCGAATCAAATTCTTGAGACACAGTAGCCCATCCACGGATATAAAATTGTTCAACAATAAGTGGATGTTCATAAATTCTTTTAGCAAGAGTGGTCTTACCAATGCCGCCCATGCCAGCAATCGCGATGATGAGATGACTGGATTGTTCATTGGATAGCCTATCCATGATGTAGTTAATGTCACTGTTGTCCCCCTCCGAATAACGACTTTTGTCCAGCTTTTCCATCTGAAAGTAATCTGGGCCGTCCAGTTGTAAAGCCACGGTCGATGACCTAGTGGTTATTAGTACTTTGCTCCCGCCAGAGATTTCTGGAATGAAGCGCTTCACACTGTCCCACACGTCCGTACCCCAAATGTCATCCATCACAATCAAATATTGTCGGCCGTATAAGCTCTTACCCAGTTTTTGTCCTAATTCTTCATATTCGATGTCCCCAGTCCCTTTGTTTTTCAAACAGTCAAGGAGTTGTAACAAAATCATTTTCGAATCAAATTCTTGAGAAACAGTAGCCCATCCGCGGACATGAAAGTGTTTCACGATATGTGGGTGTTCGTAAATACGTTTTGCAAGTGTGGTCTTACCAATGCCGCTCATTCCGGCAATTGCGATGAGCCAACGGCTGGAATGTCTTCCGATCAGCTTATAAATGATGTCGTTCATTAAACTGTCGCCCCTCTCCGAATAACGGCTGTTGTTCAGCTTATCCATGACACTGTTCATGACATTATCGGAACCCACCACGACATCATCGGAAGGAGCATTTTTTTCCCCCACCTTCTCTTTAATAGCAGCAACGTCTTTTGCGATGAAATCCAAGTCGTGAATCACTTTCTGTAGCTCTCGGTACAAAGAGTCGTCGTTCGAACTGATGTTAGCTTCACCGGGAGCCTCAGTATGATGGGCAGTGTGGGACTCAATAAGATCCCCTGCCTCGTGAGACGCATCGGATTCCACCATCATTTTCTGTATATATCGACACAAAGAGTCTTCATCTTCATTCTCAAAATGATCGGCAATGTGGGACTCGATAATGTCCTCCGCCTCGCGAGAGGCATCTAACATACGCCCCTCCAAGACATCTGCATTATCAATAATATAGTTTTCGAGAAAATGCAGCAAGAAATCAACTTTTTCTGTCAGAGGTTTGATTTTTAGTTTGTCGAGGGAGATGGGTGGGCGAGGGTGATTCTGGATTTGGTGTATGGTGTTTGTAAGAGAAAGCAGAGCTCCATAAGCTGCCATGGATCCCTGTTGGTGAAGTGAAGTCCAATCAGCTTTAGCTAGGAAGATTTTTCTCAAATGCTTGCTTATTTGTGGTGAAGAAGAAAATGAAGTTCAGATGAAATGCAAATGATATATTGGGTATGGTGTTTGAGACTTTGAGCAGGTACCGTATAACCATTATTGTTAAAAAGTTGGGACCATTAAGTGGGCCTGCCATCTTGACCCACAATGACCAAATGTATCAAACCTAATGTCGTTGTACAGCAAACGTAGCCTCTATTGTTTGTTGATCGGTTGTTTTAGGCTAAATTCTCCAAATGAAAAAGTGAATGATGATATGCATTATTGGATTGTAACAAATTATTTGACCAATGAATTTAATAGCTAATAATTGATTTGACTAATGAATTGTATTAATGATTTGTAAATAGTTGTTTGATAAATATGGTTCATAATGCCATTATGAAAAATTTATGTCAGACCTTGTTGGCTATTAGTTGATAACGAATAGTCGATTGTATTAGTGGACAAGACTGTCAACGAATCGAACATTAGTGAACAAAAGCTTGTTTGAGCTCGTTCATCTGTTAATCGAGTTGAATTTGAACAGAAAATTAAACTCATTAAATAATCGAACAAACACGAGTTGGTTCGCGAACGTTCGATAATGTTCCCAAATATTAAATTAAAAGAAAAAAAGATACATAATGAATTAATTTATAACTCAACCAGTTATAATTTAATTCAGATAATAAGTTTATATATTAAAGTTACAACATAAACGAGGTATCACAACTAAAGGAAACATAATAGTTATCAGACTTTGTAATTTTACGCTCTAATTCTTGCTTTTGTTTTTAATCTTGATGATAGAATATATCATCTCTTTTCCGACATAAATTTCTTATAATTTTATTTATTTTTTGTAAACTTACATAATATTTTTAATAAAAAATATAAAATATTTTCATTTTAACTTTTTTATTTTCGAGTTCAAACGAGTTCAAACAAACAAATTTTGAGTTAATCAAACATATTAAAAAGTTTGTGTCATAAATTATTCGAACACGAACAAAATCAAACTTTGACAAACAATTAAAACAACCAAGCTCGAACATATTTTTTTACGTGAAATATAAACAAATTTTATACTAACAGTAAAAGAAGAGCTCCATAAGCTGCCATGGATCCCTGTTTGGTGAAATGAAATCAATCAGCTTTAGCTAGGAAGATTAGTCCCAAAGGCTTATTTGTGGTGGTGAAGAAAATGAAATTCGGATGAAATGCAAATGGTAGATTGGATCTGGGGTTTGAGACTTTGAGTAGGTAGCGTACAATTATTGTGAAAAAGTTGGGACCATTTAAGTGGGCCTGCCATATTAACCCACAGGCCACAATGACCAAATCTATCATACATTTTGTTGTTGTACAGCAAAAACAGCCTCTTACAGACGCATCTATACTACTTTCAAAAAACTTTTTCACAAGAAGTTTCATTAAAATTAATTCCAATTACATATGCATGTGACATTTTTATTTCAAATCTATCATCATTTTCTTCTATAAACATTTTACGTTTCATTAAAAATAATTCCAATTATAAATTAATGCGACTTTTTTTATTTCAAATCTATAATCATTTTCTTCTATAAACATTTTTTTGTTTATGATTGTCATGTTTGCATTCATAACATGAACAAAGGATAATTTGATGTGTGTTGTGTTACCCGGATAAGGCTTTCCAGCTGGCGAGATGCCGGTTCAGTTGGTGGTTACCAGTGCTTTGTTTTTTTTCTCTCTGTGTACAAAGGATAATATGATGTGTGTTGTGTTACTGTACTGCCTTCATTTTTGTTTGGTATATGATTTAAATTTGACCCTTGAGTTGAATGGAGAATGAGAGTGCATGAAGTGATATTTGAGGAGGGTCATCACTTAACTTTTTTCATTTCTACTTTCTGTCTCTCACATACAGTTGATAAATACTTGGAAGGAAATAAATAGAGTTAAAATACTTGGTAAGATTGTAAGAAACGAAATTCAAAAGGCGAAACGAGCATCAGTATCTGAAAAACTGTCCATGAAAAATATTATCAGCATTATCGATGAAACAGAGTGAAACTGCCTGCATATAATCTACTCTACTACCACAAGCCATTGATAGAGAAAGTGGCAAGAAAGATCAGCTCTCAATCACCTATTAACATACCAAATACTGTACTTAACAGAACACAATTGACAAAGGCCTCAGCCGAATTCATCCGTATACATCTGTTAGTCACTCAATTGGAAGATCACGTCAATCGCACATTAAAGTACATCAACCAAACATTTTAAGAGACTGCTAGCAAAATTATAGGATCCATAAGGATCAAGTATGAGTACTATGCAACCAAACTTCCAACAAAGTCACGAATTTCCCAATTCCTTCCGAAATCTAAAGCTAACACAGCATCTATATTTACAGGCCATCGTTAAACTTCTTCTTTTCTTTTTTTTTTCATGCACCACAATGTTATCGGTGGCAGATGGCGAGGAGCAGGCTAAACCACAGCGGCCTGGGGAACACCGTTACAAATCTTTCTTAGATGAAGCACATTGCTTCGTAAGTTTGGTCAATAGATAGGCCATGGCAACCTTTGTAGCCAAGCTCGAATGTCCTCTCGAGAGGCAGATAGCACCACCAAGAACAATAAAACCATTTGCAATCAACTTGCTCGAAGGCCATTTCTTGAGTTTCCTCGATTTTTTGGACCAGCAAGTGTCTAGTTGGTTGTTGGCAGCTGCTGAGTTTTCTGGATGACCCGTGTTGGTATTATCGTTCATGACTTCAAATTCAGGTGGTACCTATGTGAAAATAAGTTTGCAACAGTCACAAGAGAGTGAAAAACAGAAAGATTGAAACAGTCAATCGTTCACAACCACTGATGAAGGATTCCTCAAAAAGTTAATGCTTAGTAGTAATAAGTGTTTTAATATTTCAATAGTAAATTAATTCAGGTCCTACTCAACCTTGTACACCTCGGGTCTAGATTGAAATTACCCACAACTTAAAAGGTGAGTCAAATATACTCGTCACTTAATATCTACGAGACTGAAGTTTTCCATAATTACCTTGGATCGAGATTTCTCATATTATTTATATTCAAACTTTTAATCAGGATTTGATCCTCATTGATTAGATGATTATCTTCAGTTTGTGCTACATTTGTTCCCAAAAAATTAATTTGCCCTACCCTAGGTGAAAATTTGAGAACAGAATTTCAACAACTCCAAGCTCACAGGACGTAAGTTCTGACCTTTTGAACAAACAAGCTCGCATCAGGGTTTGAATTTAGTAGATGCTGCCTTCCAGCAGAATATTTACGGAGGGCATCATCCATCTTGCGTACGTAATTCCATATTCCTTTTGAGAAGGCCACTTTTGCCATTTCTACATTCAGACCAGCATCTTCTTGGTGCACCATTTTAATCTCACAGGCATTTCTACCAGGGACTGCAAAATAAGAATTCTAGTAAGAAATCAATCCGCAGGAATATTCCCAATGCTGATTTCTAATCTTATGCAACAATAAAATACTTCCAACAAAATGAGGTCTAATATTTCGTTTATGGTCAGATTCACCAAACAGTCGTAACGCCTTCTTCAAAACATCTAAAATGTAGTTCATCAAAAAGATTGCACAATGTGCTTAAAGATCCTGTCAAGGTTAATTTATTGTGTACTACCAACCAAAAATCTTAATCTCTTAAAAACAGCCATAAAAGAATCTGATTTTATGTTATTAATATTTGGTCGATTTTCCTCCTGATTAACTTAAAATAGATTGCTTCTTGTAAAAACATAAAACATAACATTGTCTGTAAAAACAATTGAGAAATATTCCTAAAATAGATGCCCTCGATTGCTACAGTTTATTTTTTAAGACGTATACCTTCCTATATAGTTTTATACTAGACAATATATCCGGGGAATAAGATGCACGCACACATGCGAAGTGAAAAGTTAATAATCATTACAAGTATTCCTTGCAGTATTCAGCTAGATGAGCTACTATGCATAAATAAATTCGAGGTAAGTCAGCAACATGCCTTTTCTGATTCTCCAACCAGATCTGAACAAAGCTACTCTTACGTAACGCTTCTCATGTGGAGCCAAAGGATGACCGCATTCCTTACAAAGGTCACACATACATATATAAGAATTCAGAATTGAGTAGAGATCCAGAGCGGAAATAAGAACAAGCAATGAGTTCAACAAAGTTATGTTACAACGGAAGCTAACTCAAGCATGAAAACTAAGTCAAATAAAACCCACAAAGAGCCATCAGTGATGCCATGTGTTAAAAGCCAAACTTACCAGGGATTGCTTGTTAAAGCTTTTGATATTAATCTAATATCAAAGTGCTTCCAGTTATCCAGACACACACGAACTAGTAGTCTAGTACAACAGTTCATATAAGCCATACTACCCATACTGTAGACCACTTTCATTTTACCATGTTCACCAAGCCATATCAGTTTTTAGCTCGACAGAAGCATTAAACTCATTAACACAACATTCTATTGCACTTCTTACTGTGGCTAATCCAACTCACTAGATATGATCACTTACCGAAAGTGAGCTCCATACCATGGCTACCAAACAACATTCCCAATCAAAATGCACATAAGCAGTTCTATCATACACATTGCTAAACTATAAGAATGCAATAATATTTGAAACACAAGGCAGAAAAACCATGTGAATTCTCAGAAAAGAGAAACTAGAATGCAGGATTTGTACGAAACAGGAAACATAAAAGAATCAAAATGTACCTTACTAAAGCAGTAGAAGGATCCATCAAGTCCCTGCCAGACTCTCCACGCCAATATGTAATCTCTGGGTGTTAACAATGGAAACTTCTTAATCATCCGGCCAAATTCAGTGCCGGAGTCACCATCCATCTGCAACTGCTGATAATGAACCACAGTCTTATCCCACTGCACCCTGTAACTATTGTCCATGTAAAAACCCACCAGCTTCTCAACCGAGCAATCTTCAAAGATAGTCACGCTAAGATACTTCAACGGCCCATCCTGGAAAACATGAAAGGCCATCTTGCGAGATGCAGGGGGGAGAAGTATAAAGAGCTTCAAAGAGAAAACCAAAGCAATAATACCTTAGGTTTGCAGCACTTGGCCTTATATGAAATCAGATTGTTATTCTTGTCGACGACGTTTTCCCAGACCACACCGTTTTCCGGCGACTTCTCGTCGAGTTCATTGATGAGATTCTTCAAATCCAAATCCGATATAATCCCTGTGCCCCTGACGAAACAAATATGCGATACATGAATGAAAAAGATGAAAGGTTACAAAATAAGGCGCGAAATCAGAGATGAGAGAGAGCTACCGGATAGGGGGAAGACCACCGCCTGTTTTAGTTTTGACGGGAATTGAGACGGCAGGCCGCCGGCGAGAAAAGCGGAAGCGAAACGTGAGCAAACGGAAGGTGAATATGAGGAGCACTGCTGCGAGGCTCCATGTCCACGGCCACCAATCTCCGGCCAATTTTCCGTTTCCCATCCAGAATTCATATTCAGTCTGTACCACCATCGTACAATCGATCCAAGTCCACCACTCGTAGGATACTATGGCCGATTGGATCCCGACCACATCCACACTCTGAATTTATACGCCGTCGCTCTCATTTTCGAAACCCCAACCACACACGCAAAATGTCAAAACTAAATAAAATATATATATATATAGAAAAATACGTGGATTCGAAAAACGATCTATAATTTATTTTTATTTCGTGCCTTACGAAATAGTGTGAACTGTGAAGCAGTCCAAATCGTTAGGAGTCGATGCATCATGTTTTTGAAACATTTATTGAAAAAGAGATAAGGAGCGTCATTAATTAATTCGGCTGCACCAAGTTTTAAAACCGGCCCATTTCTTGAAGACTTTGCTGTTGGCACGTAGAGTATTTTTGGCCCAAAATTTTTTTTTGTTCCATTTAACTTTATTTTAACTGGGAGTGGTCCCATGTGAATCTTCCTTCTCTCTATTTCTCCCTCATTTCTCACTCGATCTCCCTCAAATATCACATAAACTTAGCAAAAAATTCAATACAATCCCACTCATAATTAAGCTTACACATTCTTGAGAGATCAAAAATTATACGGAGCATTGTTTTCTTATGAAGTCATCCACCACTTAATGTGCTGACACATGTTCAAACTGTATTTGTTGTAGGACACCTGTTATACACTATTGGTAAATAAGTGTGGATGGCTCCATAAGTCGACCCATCAGATGGAGGCAAAATTGCCTGAGAGATACGACCTGTTTTTCACAAATCTCAAAATATAACACTACACTACATCGGGCCGGATAATTACAGCTCGTTTTTAACAATTTGCCTATTGTTTTATTAATTATTTTTGTAAGTTTGGAACAAAAAACTAGGTAGAATGCGTTTGACGAATGTAGAATCATGTCGTGGACAACTCGTTTATGATTTCATGTTTGTTAAGTGAGTCGAGCTTAATCGGCTCGTTTATTAACTTTCGGCTTGGCTTAGCTTATAATTATAGAACAAAAAAATGAAAAAGGAAACAACATATTTGTAAAGGAAAAAAAAAAAGGAATTTAATATTGATGATTGGTTTATAGTATTACGTAATCTATATCTATATCTATTTATATATATATAAAGAGGTTGTTGCAAAAATATTGAAATAGAAAGTTTGACTAAATAAAATAAGGTTTTGACTTACTAATTTAGGAAATTATTTGAAAATCAATTTTTAATAATTAAAGAGCTAGAATCAGATTAGATAGTCATGAATCTCATGATACTAATCTCTACAAGTTCGTATGTGATTGCTTTGACTAAATCAATTACCTTAAGAATTGCAACTATTAGATGAAATGTATTGTGTAGATGCAAATATTTTTTTTTTATCTAATATAGTGCGGATAAATAATGTATAAAGGAAAAAAAATGTTCACATTTTTTTTCTTTTTAAAAAAATAATTTGAGATTTGATAATATATAAGTTATGTTGATAAGATCTTTTTGATAAAAAATTTTATATTAAAAATTTCACTCTTGAAAAATCATCTCATACAAATCAACATGCCTTAATATTAGGATCAATTATGGCGATTTAAGATTAAAGTTTTAAGGAATCTATTATCTATTATTATATAAAGAGACAAACCCAAAAAACTTTAAAATAGTAACTAAAAAATAATTAGAAATTCGGCCTGAATATTTACTAAACATAGTAATATTTTGAAAATTTTTGAAATATGCCGCTTAAATGTGTTTTTGAAAATTTTGGAAAAAAATTAAATTCAAGCATAAACGAAAATATATGTTTTTGGTTACATTCCATTTTATCTAATTTCTATATAATCTTGTACCACATCATAAAAAATTATCTACTGACAAGGAACAAATAAATTGTTAGGTTTAATATATTTAATATTGGCATGAAATCGTATTTATATGATTTTAATTTTAATTATTATGAGATATGATAAATTTTAAAAATTGGATAGAATGCATATATGACATAATGCTTATTTTAAAATTGTTTAAATATTTTTAAATTAATTGCATCAATAAATAATATGAATGTAAATTAAATACTTATCATTATATTAAAAAATACTACTTTTATAAGTGCTATAACTAATAAAAATGAAACTATATGAAATTAAATTTTATAATAAAATAATATTTAAGTATTATGATGAATAATAATAAGTAAGATTATTATTTATGTATCAAAAAATAAATACATGTTTTAAAATATTATTATATTAATATAAACGAGTCAACGGGCTAATACATTCTTGGAATAAAGTTTTTTTTTTAAAAAAAAAAAGTTTTAACATACAACCCGCCCGTGNAAAAAAGGAAAAATGAGGAAAAAAACAAAATTTATTTCCTGGTTTAATTGTTGCCCACAAATGAATCAATCATCAATATTTCTTCCCAGATTCTTGGGCTGGACTTCCACTTTCTCACTCTCCGTACACTCTGATGAACATCCATTGCCTGAGTTTTTCTGCTCACCATCATTCAAAAGCTCCAAACCCCTCATGGCTTTCTCTGCATACAAAATGCTTCGACCCCAAAATGTAAATTCAACCATTTTCTTTTGATGCAATCAACTGATTGATTGGTTTTAAAGAACTTGAAATTCTACTTGTCTGAATCTTTATTTTTGCTCTTTTCAACAGCCTTCAGTTTGGCCGTGGCTTCAGCTATTATTCTCAGTCGAGATCGAAACAATCACTCAGTTGGAATATTTTAGAAGCAAAGAAAAATAAATTTCTCATTGTCGGAATGAAAGGTGACAAAAATGGTAATAAGGGTGTGAAAAATTGCAGAAATAGGGGAAGTTTTGGTGGTGCAGTTGCTCTTGTTATTGGGACAAGTATTGGCTCTGGGATTCTTGCTCTTCCAAGCAAAACTTCTCCAGCGGTAGTAACTTCTTTCTCCCCAAAAATTAAAAATTGAAAAGATTCTATCTTTTTGTCTGTTTCTTTCAGTATTCACCTGATAAGCAAAGTTTGGAAAAGCTGAAAATAAGGCATCTCTTTATAAGACAAGAACAAGGTTCACACAAAAAGATTCTATCTTTATGTCTGTTTCTTTTCAGTTTTCACCTACTTGACCTCTCCCTTTCTCTGTCTGTAAAAATGATTCAAGCTTTTTTGTTTCTTTTCTGTTTTCACCTGATATAAGACAAGAACAAGGTTGGGGAAGATGATAATAGAGAGTTTGTGTTGGCATTTTTTGGTGTGATAATGAGTTGAGGCTGTAAGTCATATTCTCAAGAAATGTTTTAAGGTGCAATCTGTTGCTTTTGGAAAGAAAACCTCAATTATGTCTCAAGATGTTTATTCTTTTCTTGGAGTTGCATCAGTAGAGTAAAGGGGTATTTTCTGTGGAAGCAGCGCTTAAAGCTCAAAGGCCATCTATTTGACTGTTTTCTTGATTAATCGTAAATTTGGTTATGTAAACATGAGAGACTAGGCAATTTTCACTTTTCTTATAAGTATCTGAAGTAGCTATGTGGATCTCATAATAATAGTTTTATGCATTTCTTGTTTCCTGATTCATGCAATTTTCAGTCACAAAACTTGATGAGCTTTTGCAATCTTGATACCTGATGCAATTTCTTGTCTTATCAGTTTTTTATTTAATAAATGAAAAATCAATAGTTGATTTAACTAGATAAATAGATAAATTTTTTTTCTCCTTCAATTTGTTTTTGTTAGGGACTATTTCCAAGTTCAGTATCATTGACAATGTGTTGGGCATTTCTGTTAATCGAAGCTCTGTTGCTAGTAGAAATCAACGTCGGCTTACAAAAGAAGAAGAAATACAAAGAAAACAAAGACGACACATTAGAGGTAATGTCTATTAGAACCATGTCCCAGGAGACACTTGGAGAATTTGGTGGGGCCTTAGCAACCATGACATATGTACTCTTAGGTTACACTTGTGTGATAGCCTACTGTTCCAAATCGGGCGAGATCATACATCGTTTGATTGGCTTCTTTCCGGAGCCGATTTGTGGAGCTTTATTTGCGTTGTTATTTACAGCTCTGATTTCTGTGGGAGGAATACGAGCAACTGATCGAGTGAACCAGTGGCTAACTGTGATCATGATAGGTACATTTTGTTTGGTATGACTCTTTGATAGTAGTGACTCTAGTGTTTGTGAGAAATTTGACCTTTAAAGCGAATGGATGCATCGAAATAGAGTTTAAAAGTAATCAAGAGTGTAAAATTGGTAGTGTTTTTATGTTAATAATTTCATAACAGAGTGCTTCGAAAATTGGTAGTGTTTTTGGGCACAACAAGACAATGAAACAAGTAAAGAAGGGGGGGAAAAAGGTGATTCTTTGGTAAATGACATTTTAATATTTGAAAATGGCAGCTTGGTTTCTACTTCTGATATTGCTTCATCTAGTTATAATTGCGAAGCCAAGGTAAATTTGATTCTTTGTGCTGCTTCTCATTTCACTTCACCCATCGATAAAACACTTTCCAAATTTTCCATCAGACTCTTTTCATGTGGTTAATTTTCGAGCTTATATATTCAACATTTCAGAAAATATAAAAAATAAAAAATCGTGAATTACTTCTACTTTCTAGCAGAAAGATGAGTTTTTTATAAGCTCCTTGAAAACCAACTTCAGAAACCTAAAGCTCATGCAGAATCAGAAGAAGAGATTCCATTTAAAACACCAAAAAGGAAAAAACTGCTCTTTTTTTTTTAAATTTGCAAAAGGTGGTTTTCTGAGTTATCGGAGTTACTGACTCAGAATAAATGATCAAAAACAGGTCTGCTCATATCAATCGAGGCTCTAGCCGTGGTGTTCGGAGGTTGGTCTAGCTTCGAGGGAAGCCATTGTGACTGGGGAAAAGTTCCGGAAACTTTTCCAGTAATGATATTCACGTTGGTTTATCACGACTTAGCTCCAGGTCAATTTTTTTCTATAAAAAGATCTAAAAAAATGAAAATATTCATCTTCCCTTCAGCATTTTATCATATGCATGGAAACTGAAGTGTCTGAAATTGTCAAATATGTACATTTGATGCCTTTTCTTTTGCAGTTTTATGTGCGTATTTGGATAATGATCTTTCGCGTATAAGGGCTTCGGTTTTCATCGGGAGTGTGGTGCCATTGGTAGCAATTCTTATTTGGGAGGCCATAGCTATTGGCCTTTCCACCCAAGCTGATCAAACTTCTGATCCAATTGAGTTGCTTTTAAAGTCAGTTTGCTTTCTCTTTTACTGCTAACAAAATATTTCTGCTTCTACATAAGATGAAATGAGGACAAAAACATAAAAATACCTAGCCTTAATGTATTTTCGTGCATGGTTATGTAAAAGATCGTTATTTGGTTGTGAAATGTGCAGCGTAAACTAGTCCAATGGCTCTTTAAAGTTTCCAACTTTCAGCCTCATTTAACTTATTGTTCGAGTGCATGAGAGGGAAATGCAAAAAACTGAGGTTTTTACACATCTTTATGACAATTTTACAAAAATGTTCTACTTAAACAGTGTGAGATGGGGAGGAGTCCCGTTTATGGTCGAGGCATTTTCGCTTCTTGCAGTCGGGACTTCATTACTCGGCACACTTTTGGGCTTCTCGGAGTTTTTCAAAGAGCAACTCAATATTCTTTCCTCGGATTTTCCATCAGCACGGCTTCGTGAGGTAAAAGCCTACTGCAAACCCATAACTGAAGGCACGCGGTTTCTCTTATTATCCGATTCTTGGTAATTTTGCAATATTTTTTTTTTTACCAGAAATCGAACTCATCTGCTGACATCAGCAATTGGTGGGAGAGAAATAAATCTAGTGTAACAGCAATGGCAATGGCAGTTGTACCTTCACTTCTCGTGTCGACAACTGTACCAGATGCATTCTCCACCGCCACAGAAATTGCTGTAAGCTTTACATTACTCTTATATTCGTTAAAATTTTGTCATTAGTTTTAACAAAAATAAAATTTGGACTGCATGAAACTGCAGGGAGGCTACTGCATGACAGTGTTATATGGAGTTCTTCCTCCAGCCATGGCGTGGGCCATGAACGAGAAGCGATTAGGCCGAAAAATCGAACGAACGCCAATATTGACAGCAAGGCCAGCACTCGTTGGTGCAGGACTATTTGCTTGCGCGATTGTGGCCGAACAGATTTTTCAAGATTTCTCTTTTTTGTTTCCCTGAAAATTAAAATCACCATACAAGTTCATATTGTGTAGCAGTCATTAATAATTGTTTTTTCACTTTTCTTGTAGCAATTCTTCTTCAGGGTTTGTAATTTGTAATTATCAGCTTTGTCATTGAGTTATTATTATCCTCTAATGACAAAAAATTTCATCTTTATGTTAATGTAAATATAATATTGTCTTTGTCAAAGTAGTATATTTCTTTTCATATATGGTATACATATATAAATTTTTATAATTGTCAATAATTACACTTTTTTTTTTCTTTTTTTTTTAAATCAAGATTTTGGTCTACAAGGCCTTCCATCTTTCAACTCTCTCTTTATCAACTTCAATGTATCATAAACCTGCAACCATACCAATACACTGTTATGAGAAAAGGAAATGAAGAGAGTTATGTTTTACTAAAATTTCATTGATATTCAAAGAAAAATAGTAACAATTACCTGAAAGTAAGCAGAAAAAACTTTTGCATTTTGGTTCAGCTCAAAATATATCCTCTCAAGAAGGCATAGAAGTGTTTCCACTTGATCCCCTAGTAAATCAACCTGCAAAAAAATACAACATACATACACTTCATCACATTTTAAAGGATATCAAGCAGAAGATCAAATTCTAAATATAAAGGTTGCTGTTAGTTGCCCAAACGGGTCGAAATTAGTTAGGTAGTCCAAAAGTACGACTTCACATTGTTTGCATTTTTGTCGAAAAAATTGGTTTGAAGTATCAAGCTTTTAGATACCTCAGCTTCTGCTAACATCAGGCTCTGGCATCTCGAAACAAATGCCTTCTTGTAGAGCAACTTTTGCTTTCCAACCGAATTCACGGTCTCGGCTAGTAATTCCACGTCGTGTTTCAATGATTGTATCCTGAACGTGTAAACAAGAAGAGTTAAAAAAAAAAATCTGTCAATCGCTAGTTTTTCACGAAGTACCACTGACTTTCTGCACGATTCGAAATATCGTGAATTATCTTTCGAAAATTGCAAATGCTACCGAAGAATTTTAGCCTAGTTACAGAAAGAACCCCAGTTATCCTTCAATATTAGAAATGACCTCCCGACATGAATTTCAACTTCACAAAATCGCACCTATAACCGGACCTTTTGTTCATAATTAAGCTAAATCTCGGGGTACTTTCATCATTACCACAAATCTCATATCACAGAATATACCAAACAGAAGCAAATAAACAATACTCAGTAACTCAGATAGATACCTTAAGCATTTGCTCTCCACATTCTCCCCCAAAGCATGCTCAAAATTGCCAACCACCCCTAGTAATTCCACAATATTCCCCAGAACACCATTGTACGAAATTACCGAACTGCCCTTTCCACACTCCACATCACTCGACAGTCCTCGACAGCAAAACTCTTCCGATTCCTCAGACACTTTCAAGCTCTGCTCCAACTCGACCAACAACTCCTTGCTCGTGTACAGTTGTTGCAGGGCTCGCTCGAGCTTCTCGCTGACCGAAATAAACGTGCACTCATCATCAGTTATCAGCCACTCGATCGCGTCTCGCTCATCAATCTCCTCACAGTTCAATATCACCAAGCTGTTGCTCACATTGTGCTCTTTTATTTCCGAATTTGCCCTCAGCATGAGATCCTCCTCGGCCTCCAAACACTTGAGCAACGAGTCGAACTTTCTTATCAAGCTTCCCTCTCGGAAAATATCGGCATTCGACACATTTTCTTGATTTTCGGCTACGCACGAGTCCTTCGCGGCCTCGAGAATGAGAAACCGGTAGATGTCATCCCGGAGAAGACACTCGGTGGCAAAATCGTCTTTTTCGGAAGTACAAGCTTCGAAAATCTCCCTAAAATCGCTCGTCACGCATCGTAAAAGAACCCGGTAAGTATCTTGCATCACGAAATTCTCGAAAAACAGCTCATCTCTCTCTTCTTTTACTCTTTCAACCTCGAATTTCAATCTCTTGACTTCATTAATCGAGCTTCTGTTTGCTCTTACATGATCAGTAGGCTTAAAGTTAAAACTTCTACTCTTCTTCAATTGGTCCCTTTTGGTCAAATTCTCGAGTCTCATAATAGCATCTCGGATCCTTCTCTCGAGCCTGCTACCGCCTTTCTCTCTCCCAATCCTAGAAAACGACCCTTCCCCACCTTCACGTTTCAACCGGCTCAACTCTTCGACCTGTTTCTTAATAATCGACTCGAAATTCTTTTTCATTTTGGCCACGTGCTTTTTCCCATCAACCTCATCAAAATCACTATTATTATCTCCTGTGAACTCGATATCCGATACAGGCTCACTCGAGCTCCTGGCAATAACGGGCCGCCGTTTTTCATGCATATCGTTCGTCTTAACATAATCCCGAAGCTCACGGCACAAATTCCTCAACTCGTCAACAAACTCCATCCAATCATTCGGGCCCGCCAAAGGCCCTCGCCTGAGGTCATCAAGAAAGCCTCTGACCAAAGTCAACTCGACGTCCCTCTCCACCGAGCAAGCCCACTGATTTTCAAACGGGATAGTCCCGATTCTCCCGAACGCGAGATCCAACGTCTCTTTCAATATATCGATATCCGAACTCATTTTCCTAATCAGCACGTTCTGATTGTTCGGCTTCTTCACGTTCATTCCCGGAATGTCAATATCAATATCAAAATCAACATCGTCTTTGAAAATCGGGCTCCCGTTTCTTTCCTTATCCAAGAACTCGAAACTGAGATTCGGGCTCGAGACGCGCGTCTTCTTGTTCCGCCTCTCGATTATCAGAGCTCGTCTCTCCTCGTCGAGCTTCTGCTTCATGCTCGAAACCTGCTGGTCGACCGAGTCTTTCAGCCTGAAAATATCTTCGTTTTCAGCTCGGCAAGCGGCCTCTCTTTCTTTCAGCTCGAGCGATTTTTCAGACAGGTCGGTTAACTCGCGATCCTTTTCGAGGATGAGGTGGCGCATGTCCTGAATGCGGCCCGCCAGCCAGGATTTGATCTCGGTTAGGTCGGAGTGGATTTTGTTGCAGTTGGCTGCCATGTCATCGGTTTTCTCGTCTCGGACGATGGAGAGGCCGCCCTCGACTAAAATGGCTGCCAGCTCGTAGAATGTGGAGCGGTCGTGGAGGAATTGGATGGGCCCGTCTCTTGACTGGAGCTTCTCGTGGGCCTCGTCCATGGCTGACCGGAGGATCCGCATCACGACGGAATCGGACTTTGTCCGGCATTCGATTTGGCCGAAAATATCTTCCATTTGTCTTTTCAAAGTAAGGTTCTTACAAAGAGGAAAATTGTGGAAGTGAGAAGCAGGGGACTTGTTATTACCCTCAAAAGTTGGAGGATTATTAGTTTAGTAGACTTGTTCTTCTAAGGTGAGCTACTGCAGAAGATCCAAATGTTCAGGTGAATTGGTTATTATGTAGTAGTAGTTATTTAATAGTTTAGTAGTTATCATGTTTGGAGTAAGAGACAAAAGAATTAGCCATAAGGACAAATGTAACAGTTAATCTACTCAGATTATATCAATCTAAAGATAGCACAAAGTGACTGTATATGAAATAAATGATTACTGTTTTTTTCTTTTTCTTTTTTTTTTGTGTTTGTTTATTCAATTCATTCATTTTTATTTTTATTTTTATATTTGTACTAATTATCTGTTCAGGGATTTCCACTAGAAAACTGAGAGATTTTAGGTGCTCCATTTGCTGACTTTTCCTCTAATGGTTCCAAACATCTGAACCAACAAAATTTCCTAAATTTAGAGACCAATAAGATAACAAAATGAAAAAACAGATAAGAAAAGAAAAGAAAGAAAAAAACATGACTGTTTTACCAACAAGAAACTTCTCCCAGAAACATGATGCATGAAAGTATTCTCCCCAAAAAATAAAAATTAAGTAATATATCAAGAAACAAAACAAAGATAAAATTTGTGAATGGGTGAAACAAAAATGTGGCTTTCAAGTTCAAATAGTAACAGGGGAAGACGAGGAGGAAGGAACGGCCTAGTTGCCGTGGCCATCGATAAAGACAAAGGAAGCCAAAACGCTCTCAAATGGGCTTGCGAGAATCTCGTCACCAGAGGCCAAACCGTTATTCTTATCCACGTCATCCAAAGATCGCATTCCGTAATGCCATCGTGTAAGAAAGCCAGTCCTTTAATTCATCCTTATTTTGTTCGGTAAAAATGCATTTTCAGACAGCCTGAAATTTTTTGCATGAGGAATAACAAGTTTCGATTTTGGTGACTGCAGTTGGAAAATACGTGGTCAATGGTCTCAATGGCGCGAAAAATGCTCAAAAGAATGTGCTTGAGAAGCAGACGAAAGAGCTATTGCTCACCTTTCATTGCTATTGTACTCGTAAAGATGTAAGCTGACTTCACGCGTACAAGAATCTGATGGATTGATCTTATTTATATCACCTTTTTATTTTTGTTTTTTTTTTTCAACAGATACAATGTTTAGATGTCGTCTTGGAAGATACGGACATAGCAAAAGCAATAGCAGAATGTATGGCTCATGCTGCAATCGAGAATCTGGTTCTTGGCGCGTCTCACCATGGATTTATCAAGTTAACAAATCTTCCTAATTCTCTGCCTTAGTTCAAACTTATGCGAACGAAAAAAAAAATATATATATATTATTCGTATTATGTAGCATTACCAATGTGTGATCTGTTTGTATTGTTTCTTCTAATTACAGAAAAAAATAATAATAAAAAAAACCAACCATTGAGATATATTTTTCGTGTTTCGGTTTAGTTAATATATAACGGTTGTTTTTTACGGCAGGAGAATGAAGACAGTGGACATACCGACTAAGGCATCAAAAGCAGCACCCGATTTCTGCACGGTTTACGTCATCTCGAAAACAAAGATATCTTTTGTCAGGAATGCATCCCGCCTGGCGCCATTTGTGTCCCCTCTCTTAGCACAAATACAGCAAATAGAGGAACAGGCAAACAAAACCGAAACTTTAAATGCCGATAATCTGTCCAAGCGCACACCAAGCATGAGAGGTTGGTTAATTCTCTCCCTCGTACAATCTATCATTTTCTATATTATTCAAACGACAAAACGAGCAAAACATTTCAAGAAGAGAAACAGTCCAAAACTCAAGTTGTAAAGATATATTCTGTTT